ATGCCATAGATTCTAAGTTGTAATTTTATATAGACTTTGATTGAGCCATTCTAAAATCTAAATATTCTTGGACCTTGAACCTGATTAGAGGATTTTCTTTTACACGTTTGCCTCATTAAACATGTTCTTGTTAACTGTGAACAGGCTAACCAACTCCCAAGACAAAAAAAAGTATTTGCCATGTGGCATTAACGGAGGAGCTGTGGTTTTACAAGGCGTTGCAAATAATTGAACACGTAACCTGGCTGTACTGCCCATTTTCATTTCTGTATCACTCCAGATTCAATTAAACTGTTATTATGCACATAGCCTTTTTTTTTTTTTGTCCCCACACATCCCCCTCTCATACTTTCCCTTCCCTGGCCGGTCATTCGTAGTGTCAGCAAGTTTTGCACAGGTAGGTGGGAGTTTTCAAGCATGACCAAGCCATATAATGAGTCCTGAGCCCTGCGTGGGGGTCGATTGGCTGGCTGCACTGACCCGCTGTTTGGGCTAATACCAACACAAACACACTGGAACACAATCAGTGACACAGTAAGGCATTTCTACACACAGGCATGGCAAGTTTCCCACATGATTCATTCTGTGTACTTTCAGAAGAATTGATATAAAAATTGGACATTTAATCTCTTTTGCCCATTCACAAAGTAGTGTTATGTTTACTGGATCAGGAGGTTTGAGATAGTTTGGACTGAAGAGGTGATACACAGACAAGTTACATGCAGCAGAATAGAAGCAGTGATCAAAGATGTGAGAGGAAGCACATCTTTCTCTCCATCTTTCTTTATTAGTTTGAATTTAGATGAAAGATATTATCAAGTTGTGCCACACTGCATGAATTTGGATATTTGGCTTGGGTAATGTGCAATCCCTGCTGTTGATCATCTCTGAATAGTCTCTGATTGTGGGAGCTTTCAAAGCAGCTCCCAAGGTGTCTCAGGTGAATAACATTTGATTTGACTTTTGGTGGCATATTCATTTACATTCATTTAGTATTTTTCTCACTAGTGCTATTCAGCGCTGTTTTGAATTCTCAAGCTCTTGAAGTTAGTAACTTGTTCAACCCTGCATCAAGTTGTTCTTTATGCAGGGTTCTTCACCTTTTTCATAGATGTTGTTTTTTCCAGCTCTCTAATTAACTGTTTGTCTTGTCTCTCATTTTTCTAAAGCAGAGTTTGGGTACAACCACTAACTAATCTCTCTTGGAATATTATGAAATTCCCCCGTTTTTATGTTTTTTTTTTTTTTTTTTTAAACATTCCCTGCTTACTGTCTTCACATTCTCATAAAAGGCTGCAAAGCACTTCTATTTTTTTTTTAGGAAGCATGCATGCTTAGTGCAGCAAGTAGCTTTGGTTTCTTGCCTCTATATCTTTATCACTCCCTCTATTGCCTTTGATTTTCTATTTCAAAGAATTCAGAGTGTTTTAATTTCATTTTTTTTTTTTATTTGAAAAATCAGTTTTGTGTTTATCATCTCAGCCTTCTCATACCCTACCGTCTTATTTCCCCCTGCTTCTCCGTATTCCTGCTCCCTCTGTGCGGTTTTAATCTCTGACAGACACTGCTCCCGTTCCCAGCATGGAACCAAAACATCAGCACACAATTCTGATGGTTAAAAAGAACACGTTGGTAAACATCACTCCCCAGATATTTCCTTTCCTGTTTTTTGATGTCTTCCGTTTAA